ATGTTTTTTTTCCTCTCTCAATATGTATAAATTTCTTCTGAAAATACGCATGCTTTAGATGTTTCATTGATTCCCAGTTGATTCCTTTTTTAATCGAAGGGCACAAAATGGGACAACATTAAAGAAAATCTTATGAATTGTCATCGTGTCTATGTATGACACATGTCACATCGTCATAAATAATTCTTTTTCCGGAGGCAATGTAACTTGTGCCTTGCACACAGATTTCCAATAAACAGTATTTGAATAGACTATTGGACATTTTTATTTTTTTACAATTTGAAATTTCAATTGCACTCAATAATTTGAAAATGTTATACTTTTAGTGGCATGTTTCGGTCCTCTTCTACATTACATAGAAAAGGTGAGTCATCAATTGATATTCAAGATACTATCATCACTGTATAGACAATTAGATATTCAATCCATAATCGCAGTGACTCAATTTGCAAGGGCATGGCTTAACCGAGCTATTCTCAAGCCAAGTGAAGCGTGCATGAAATAGGAAGATCTTCTTCTATTTATTATTATTATTTTTTTCCATGGTGTAGCTAGATCATTTTGGACTTAGTTAGAGGCCTCCGCTATGAAGTAAATCACAGCATCTACTATTCAACCAATTGGGAACTCTTGGTTGTACTGTGCTCTTAGGTGTGTTTGTTCCCCTTTCTTCCTTATGGGTGGAAAAAGAAGCGTCTTACTCCAGTTTCATAAGAGTATAAAATATGGAATCATAAGCAGATTTTGTTGTATATGAAAATCAACCTTGAAAATACTCGAGCTTATTTAATTCAAAGAAGTTCCTCCTAGGCACGCCTTCGTTTTCCGGCTAGCTCTAAGAAATGCTATAAACACCTGGGATCGTCTAGATAGACAAGAAGGTTCTCCATCTTGATCATCATGTTCTAAGCCAAGATGTGCAGGTCTCCCTTTCCTCGCTATTCTATGCTCCCTCGGTGCACACCTACCATGTTTCTCGCCTATAGCATTTTCCTTGGACGATTTTTGCCAGTAGAGACAACTTGTCAAAGGCTGAAAAAGAACCTTTGGTTAGACAACTTTATGATGAGTAAATCAAATATATACAATATACAACAATAAAAACTACATCTTATGTTCAATCAATCAAAACTTAAACCTTTCTTGGTCTTAGATTCATTGTAATGTTTACTAGAAAATTTAATGCAACTAAATCTTGTTGAAACTACAACCATGTTAAACCAGACATATGCAACATAAAACAGTGAAAAATAAGAAATAATAATTAAAGAATCGCCAAATTTCTTTATACCCAACATTATTACATTTGAGTAGCAAATATTAAACAAAAATATATGTTAGCCTATCTTTAATTATTCACACACCAAAGTGTCAGTATAGCTCCATAGGACTGAAGTCGGCTGAAGTCACATTTGGCATTTATTCCATATCTAACTGGTAACTAGTGCAAACGTGGAATCAACAATAGATATCATTGCAAGCCCTACATCAATAGTACTATTTACATGTCAACTTAGTTGAATTTCGATCCTTTTTTTCCAAAACATTAAAATTGCCATGAGATATAGACACCAAACCTCCTAAATAATCATTTTCCCAGTCCATAAACCAGTCACCAACGCCCTATGGAGGCCACCATCTAGGCCGAGTACCTTAGCTAACTCCTAGAAATCCTCACCATCACTGTCCATCTTCATTATGAACAACCTCGCCTTAGATATAAACATTGTAACTCCTAAACCAATATTTTCTTGGTCCACAAACAAGTCATCAACACCCTATGAAGACCACCAGCTAGGTCCGGGAAAAGTTGCACCTTATCTCTTAGCTATCTCCAAGAAATCCACATCGTAATAGTCATCATAAACATTCGGAGCAACCGCCTCAGAGGGACACCGAACATCCTAAATCATCATTTTCCCAGTCTAGAAACCAAATCAACCCCTATGGAGACCACCATCTAGGTTGAGGAAAAGTCAAACCCCGTCTCTTAGCAATCTCCAAGAAATCCACATCCTCAGAGTCTCTATCCACTTTGGGAACGACAGGCTTCAAAACTTCCAACAAATCATCGAAAAATCCATTAATCATTCCAACATTCCCTACAACCTCGCTGCTTCCAATATTCTGCTCTTTACCCTTCATGGATAATGGCAACTCATACTGTCCACCAACACGACTGTCAACTCCACAAACTCTCTCCTTCCTCTTCCTCTCAATAACGCCATCATTGACATACTTGAACTCGTCGATTCCTTCCATATTCATAAAACTACACAAATCTCCATCCCCACCTGTATTATTACATGCCTTCTCACTTTCTGTAACCTCAACAACCTCCCTATATTCACTAGTTTTTCCCTCATCACAATTTTTGCTCACTCTAACAAATTCTTCACTTGCACCAGCTACTAGCAAATCAGGAGTTTCAGTGAATCCAGGGGTCTCTCCAGTTTTTTGCGCATCAGCATTTTCCCCAACCACAACATTTTCGTTGCACAACTTCTCCACCGAATCTTCACCCAAATTTACGGTGGTTAGTTCCTCGCCAATTTCTTCTGTTTCCATATTGATAACATCGGTATCATGCACATTATTGCTTCCTTCAACTTCGACTGTAGTGGGCTCCGTTTCACCAATAGGCATGGTTTCACCATCCCATTCCAATTCCATATCCTCCTCAGAAACCCCTTTCTTCTTCAACACAGAGTCATTATCCAATTCCTCCTCCAAAACCCCATTTTTCCTCAATTCATCAGCCCCAACTACCAAAGTGTCCTCACTCAAATCAACGGTCCTTAAGCTGTCTCCAGGATCAAAGGCTGTGGGTGGTTCTCCAGCGTCAACATAGTGGTCTTCAGATGAGAAGCGGGCTTGCTGCTCTGGAGGGGTTTGAAATTCCAATTCTGCATCATCCTGAGGTGTACGTTGGTCAATTGGACCGCTATCCGGTCCCGAAACCATAACTATTCCGGCGGGTTCAGTCGGCGAGGGAGACGGAGACGATAAATCCGGGTCGCGGTCGGATTTCACAATCCAACCGAAGGGACAGTCATCCAATTCAGCCTCCTGGGATGAGGTTGGCTGGCAGAGCTTAATCAGCGAGTCGAATCTGTCGGTTTTCTCTCCTTCCATTGTTGTTGTAAAGCGCACTATGTGACTGTGTGTAAATTTTAGGGTTTTTGTTTTGTCAAATTGGGGATTCTACACTGTTGATTTTCCCGCGTTTTAT